ACAGGAGCGTTACCTAGTGAAGTTGCCATCTTCGCCATCTTCATATTGAACACTTCTTCAAGTGCTAGGTGTCGAGGCTTTTACGCATGCATACACTATCTGCACACTTTTTGATTATAGCGACATCTTCTTCTGCTTGTTAAAATTATTCACCGAATCATGGGATACGCGAGGGCAGGTTATGCATGTGTTGGTGCATGTCCATCAATGATCAATTTTCCTTTTCTCATCGAATAACTCATTTACGAGAAATGTGATACTTATAAATATACTGTAGCTCGAATCACGTACTTTTTCTCCCCAAAAAATTTGCTGGAAAAGCTGGAGCGATTTATACTCGAGTTCCTATATACTTCCTAATAATGTACATCCCAAATATAATGCGGCTTATATTCTTGCTATATATCTCCGATTTCAATCAAACTGTTCTTGCCGGATGAAAAGGAACAATGCAATTTTACGAGTTTGAGAGACATACATCGTTATTTCAATTCGCAAGCTGACGAGGACTGTCATTCTAGAATATCTGAAGGCTAAAACCGTATACCGAAAAGTATACGCTGTGAATAATGAAATTCGTCTCGTTATAGAGTTTAACGATTAGAGTATACGTATTACAATTATTAAACGCTGTGCAATTACTGTATTAATTCTGTACCATACGAAGCCGCATTATTTTGGAATGTACAGTACATTATTAGGATCTCGTGCATGAATGTTATTATTCAGTATTTATTCAACCCTCTTCGTACACTTTGGACGTCGCTCGGTTGACTTACTTCATCAATAATAAGTTTTCGGCCAGCAATACTCGAATATACATACAACGCCCGTATATACATACATATGGTTGAAGGATTGGCCATTCACGTGTGTCTCACGTCGCTACTAACTTGACAAATTGTTTGCTGCCTATATTTATGTCTACTTTTACACCTATATGCACTGTTGATGAAGTCCAGCATTTGGAGTCTTGGAGACGAAGACCGCTGATTGAGACAAGCCTATATGCAGTACTCCATAGTAGTTGAATAAGTATAACTTGATATGCAGAATAACTGTATACAGAACGGATCATTCGCAGGTTCATTACTGTACTAAAAGCAGTTTTTTCCTACTGCAACTAAAGTTCTAGACATTTCCTCGGAAATTATATCGCGCTAGTCGTAAAATTTGTGGGGAATTTGGTATCAAACCTTTAAATCGTAGATTCCATTCCAAAGGATGGTGTACTGACTATTTTTTATAGCAACGAAGAAAACTTTTTATTCAACATAGGTATGCAGTTTATATTCAGGGAATTATCATATGATGGTAAGAGAATTCGCGTCACGCGCCAGCGCACATTTCCATCGCTAGACAAGACAAACTGAGAAGAGGTTTTGCAATAATTAAAACCGTCCGCATCAGGCTTCACGATTCTTTTGAATTTGTGTCAAATGGTTCTGTTAGTTTTTGACACTGCCTTCTTTTGTATGTTTTTGTGGGAAATAATGAATAACACATGTTGCACGCAAGAAGTAATGAATATCATTTTACACTTAATGTGACCTAGTGAATTCCATCATGTAATTAAGTCAGGGCAGTGCACTGCTTCCACCGTTGTTGAATTGAGGATTTGATTTATGTTGACAGTGACGTCTAAGTTTGGATAATACAGATACAATTTAAGAAATATGTTTTATTTAAAATAGATGTCGCCGCTGTACAACGAGCTCATTGTGTGAATACGGGAGCCAAGGGGCACCCCACAGTCCTGTACCTCGTTGACGTGCTCAGCAGGCGCTCGGATTTATTTCTGAGGTTCAATATAGCTTTCATATCAAGCCCGAAGTACAAATTCTTGACTTAAGGAGAGTGCACTTCCCGTTTAAACGCCGAAAGTTCTCTACACTTCACCAGATCATCTATGAGATGAGACTTGCCCTTTTTTTAAACGTTTCTTCCAAAATGTGCTGTAAAATGTATACAACAGTCCTACAGCTGCATAACCTCCATAGAGCATTTCTCGCATGTAATTCATGGCCAATGAATTACATAATGTTTATGACCACGTTAATGAACATTAATTGCGTGAACATTAATTGCATAATGTTTATGACCACGATGTCCACAGCCAGAATCAGCAAACTGAAAAATCTGAAAAATCCATAGACGTTGCGCATGGAGATCTCCACTAATCTGAGGGATGCTCATGTTTAATCTTTGTAACAAATTTGCTGCATAAAACTTTGGGAAAATACGGTTTAAAAAATACAGTTTCAGTCCTTTAAACGGCACAGCGCTGAAGTTACCCGAGGCCCGACCCCATCTCCTGTGTCATAAAAAGCACTTGAAGCCGTGAATGGAAAGGATGGAAGAAAAATTCCAAAAATTCGGTACCTTTAATTGTTGTGCAACTACGAGATCCCCAATTTTGAGATTCTGAAAATTTTAAGATAAATGCAATGTCTAGAAAGTAAGTCCCAACGAGTTTCCTGGCTAGTATATTCTCCTCAGCTGCTTGGATTTCCATATCAGTGCACCTAGAGCCATAACATTTGATTAAATGGACAATAATTGGAAGTTTAAGAGATTGTCTTAGCTTCAACCCCTTCACAGTGCATCACAGTTGTCCAAGTCCACCCCCTTGTATTATAAGTCATCCTAAAGCGTATGTCTGAGGAGACGAATTTACACCTGCATGCAGTGCATTAAATTATTGAGACAATGTCAAAATATTCCTGAATTGTTGAAATTCCTGCTTGGATTCCGCGATACACCGAATAGTCGAGTCCCGACCAAATCGAACTAAATGCGTATAGCCATATGTGGTATCAATCGTGTCGGGAGCTTGCCATTTCGAAACTTCACAAATAATTATGTTTCCTCAAGGAAGATGTTGATACTGTCAGCCGAGACCAAGCCCCTCTTGATCATTCAAGATATCCAGCAAAAAGTTTGAATCCCTGCATCTCATCGAAAATAGCTTTTTATTTTATTTATTTTTTTCGTTTGAAACATAGAAGAACTGGCAAAAATCAACTTGTTCAAAGTCTTGAATTGCTTTAATGAAACAATGTGAGGGTTATCAAAATATTTTCCAATTGGTTATTCAATAGAAGACGTCTCGTTTGTTTTAAGGGTTAATAGTGGTGTTTCCTGTACAGTGTTGCATACAGCATTCCTCAGATATGTTGAAGGAAGTACTGTATATTAGTAATTTACGTATCTCTACGCCCAGTTTCCCTGAGAATAAAATGGCTCATTTTTACTCCAGAAAGGGGCCAGGGTTTAACATGCGGTCAGATCGAACATAATCGAATTAATTGAACAAGACAATTCAAAAATTAGCGTTGGAATTTACGGTGAATGGTGTTTTTGTGGGAAGGGGCGTCCTTGATAGAATTTAAAATCACCGGATAAATATTTTCATTGAGATAATATTATGAGAAGAATACATTTTACTGTATTTGGCAATGCTTTTGGCGTCAAGTGAAGGAAAGTCACCACGGCACATTTATAGGGGACGTGAACAGGGCTTCATCAATGACAACAGAGTATATCTCTAGAAGTATATTTAGGATAAACGAAGTTTGTATGAATGGCGCCCAGTTGTCCTGGAATGCACTGATGACGATCTCAAGAGTACGAAATGATCTGGAAGTAACACTAACATCACGCGTCCCATTACGAATGGACGGATTTGCCACAAAAATTGATCGGAATCTTTATGAGTTTTTGTCACGGTTCCTTGACTCTTGGTACTGATTCGCGACACGCGACCCTAATTGAAACCGTCGAATTGTACGATGCTCTTCATCCTGAATCGAGTTTGTGACAAAGGATAATGTCCTCGCGGACAGGGAATAAATCTTGACTCCGTTTTGAACTTGAGCGATCGTTGGAACGGTTAATAAAACCAGAGTGACAACGCGCAATGAAGAGATCATGTTGTCCACTGGATCGTGCCAGTACGTCGCCGAAACAATGCTTTAATGCACCTGCTCATAAAACTCGCCTTCCCCCCCCAGAGACCCGAGGTTGCGCCACAAAGTCAAGCCGCAGTCGTAACTCGTTACTAGACCACGTCCTACGACGGGATGTCGTGACCGCATCCGCGATTAAAACCCGTTTCGGCGCGGTTTTCAACTATTTCTGGTGCTCTGGCGCGACTGTTCGGGAAATAATTGGCATTAGACACAGCTGTATTAAAAGAACTTTTATTGCATGCTGGCTCCGTCATTCGGCAGTTCTGCGTGCCGTTGGTACCATTGCTCCGCCTCGATATCAGAAACCAGTTCTACAAACTCGCGCGGAATTCCGTACGTCCAGATCGCACACGTCCGCGGTAATGTGTTCACGAAAAAAAAACCAAACCAAACGCTTCGTGTACGCCTCGCCGACCGACGAAACTGCCACGTGCTACAAGTGGCAATCCGTCCGGGAGCGCCAAAAACAAAATTCAATCATGCTACAAGCTTATTCGGAACCGACGCCTTCGCGGTTGCAGCGAAGCCAGCGTCATGGCGTTCTCTCACATGCCTTCCGAAGTTCTCGATGAAGCGTATCAACGGTATTCAAGATTAAAACGAGGCGCGGCGGCCAACTAAGCATGTACGTGGGGAATAGGCGGAGGAGGGATTATCCAATCAAGGTTGCATGACGTAGAAGTTTGCTTGACAACGTTGCTTTATCCGCACTGCGATCAGGGCCTGGCCGTATTTGGTTCTGACAGCCGCAATATCGCAGGCGACGCCATGCTACAGCGAGATACAACGATCTGGATGAATTTATAGTCGCAGACGACAAGGAATCATTCGACGTTCACTCTCCAGGCATGAATCGCGATATCTGCGGCTTTGGCATTTTCAGGTGAAACGTGAGGCAGAGACAGAGAGACAGAGGAAACACGCTTTCTGGTAAATGTAAATGCGAGGAGGAGGAGGAGGAGCAGGAGGAGGGTGGGTTGATGACTTGGGTGCATAAGTGGTTCGACGCCAAGTGCTGGGGTGCTCAGCTCAGCCAACTTGCAGGCCCTTGGAGATCGACTCGAGGTGCTCTCTGGCCTTGATGCGCAATGATACGATGCTCGTGGTGCGCTGATGGTCGGCGCCGGGTTCCTTGTCCGAGCTGGTTGGCGACGGTGTCAGACAGATTGACGGCGAGGAGAGGCCCGACGGTGTCGTGGCTGACGATGGAGAGGTGGCCAGGTTCATCGCCTTGCAGGAACTGGCCGAGACAAGCGAGCTGAGGCTCAGTCCGGGCACAGGCCCGCACGGCAGCGGGGTCGTCAGGTAGCTTGGGTAGACGGCGTGGGGATGCGAGAGGAACCCGGGCAACGCGTGGGACAAAGTCGACGTGAGCAAAGGCGGCGTGAGCCACGGGTCCAGTGGGATGCTCAACCCGGCTCCCGAGGGGCGAGTTAGGCTGCTGAGGCTTTGCTCGTGCAGCCGCAGCTGGTTCGCCTCCATCTTCTCCTGACGTCTCCACTTCGCCCGACGATTCTGGAACCATACCTGTCAAGAAGAAACATATCGATTGGACTTGCAATCATTCACGTAAACACCCATCATCTGTGGGAGAAAAACAGGCGGACTCATTTCAGAACGCTTTGAATTCGATTGAATGGGCTTGCAATCCTTTACGCACACGCATTCGTAGCAACAAAAACATGTGGACAAACCTCTTCATGTCCGCATGCCCGAGATTTTCTTCAAGTGCATACAGACTTGAAATTGACACAAATATATAAAGTTCAATATTTGTTTTTCTTATTGACTGGTTGAAGTTTTCGAAAAACCATCATCTCTAGCAGCCTGATGCATTAACAGAAAAGTGTAGAGAAACGAATATTTTTTTCATTCAAACATACGAATGGTATTCAAAAATAGGAAATTGTCAATGAGAACGTGGTCATTTATCTCAGATACTATGGTAGACTACCTGGAAATTTATAGGGCTGCTGTATAGCGGGTAGATTTACATTCCAACAGTGAGGGGGTGAAATTTCAATTCTCTTCCTTCTCTCCATATCAACCTGGGTGATTCACAAGTTGAAATGAGCAGGAAATAATCAGAGATTAATCGGGAAAACTACGTCCATCTCCAGGCATTTAAAAATTCCCCAGCGAAAGACTGACAAATAAATTCTGAAATCCTTTGTCGGTTCGGCCCTAACAGGCTTGAGGAATTGGTCAGAAATCCCAAGGAAACATGCTATGTATGCCTCGAAGCCTTTCTTTGAATAACATTGAAATACCTCCACGGATTGCTTCAGTAACTTTTTACTACGCAGGTTTTGGTTGTTCGCTGGTGACCAAAACCAAGAAATACTTGTATTAACAGGGATATCAGTTCCTCCCATATACAGTACGTACACACAATCTCCTCATCAAGTTTTTGTAGCGTTGGTCACATATGGGCTTTTGCCGATCACAGGTTATAGTCTTGGTCGTTTGTTGATATTAATGCTCACATTTTTACAGCTCGTCACGGAAGTCGATGAAAATATGACGCAAACGAAAAAAAAAGAAAAAAAACTGAGCTCCGGCATTCTGACAAGGCACAGCGATTTCATCATCGTGTTCATATTCTGTTTCTAACGCAATTTCCAGCGGTTTGCCGCCCGATTTGTACAGGATTAAGGATTCATTGACGAGATACAAGAACAAAGGCGAAATGGGACGATTATTCCAAGTCAGTAGCACGTGGTTCATTGGAAGCCGGTGTTCTATCCACTTCGTATAATAACCAGAGAAATTGAATTTGCTCGGGGGGAGCGGGGGCGAGGCGCACAGGGTGCCCACGAGGGATTCTACCGCGAGATGAAGAGATGAAGGCAAAAATCACGAGGAAAATTGATGGGGAAAAATTGCCCGCGAAAAAATTGCCGGCGGGCTTTCATCGGCCTCGCCAAAAGAAAGCTTTGATGCCGCTATGCAGAGCGCGCGGCAATCGGATTCCCGACGAGGGGTGGGTTTTTGGCGATGCACCACTTACACGCGGGAATCCGACGTGAATTTGAATTTAATTCAAGGCAGTGCGGAAATGCCGGGGGATAAACGGGCCGCATAAAGGTTATGAGGAATTACGTTAAGGGCTGCCGGAATCGAATCAGGAACCACGTCCTGTGTAAGCCGCGCCTCAAAGCCGCTCCCCCGACGCAGTTGCGCTCAAATCAGGTCTGCTTTCACTATTCAGGATGTCCACGGCGAATCCCGCATCCGACCGCAAGTTATTGCTTTGGGTGATCGATTTAGATACATCGAGCGCTTTCCTCTCTTCTTCGGGCATCACCGTCAAAATCGGCGAAATACAGGAAATGCAGAGACCACGCTCCTCGGAAGAGGGAGGAGCGTGGGGAAGGAAGCTCCGCTTTCATGGGCCTAGTCGGGCGTTGCATAAACTGCTGTGCTGAACGGAAATCAAGAGTCCGACGAATTCGGTTAGAAGCTAGCGGTTAGAAGCCTGCTCTGTATTGGGGCTTTCATCCTAAAATATTCTTCCTGGGCGCAAACGCTCAGACGTCAGCCGCAGGCGGCCCCAATTTGGCTCCCCACTGAGAGAAAAAATCGGAACCCCCAGACAGTATACAGGGGATTACATCCCCAATTTGTCTCATTTAGCGCTGAGACGCCAGCGCATTTCTGCAGCGCAGTTCAGTGTTTCCCCTTGGCGCCGACACTGCGACTGACAGCTGCTCGGCAGTTGCTCCTAGGCAATTAGGAAGTTTTCACCGGGCTCAGGGTTCGATTCAAGCAGATCTGGAATAATTACTTGATCCGGAGTGCAACGCCGAATCGCCTCGCCGCAGGGACAAGGATTACTGGAATCCAGGCACATTTCATCCGATTTCTTGCGGAAGTTGAGACCACGCCTTTCTTCCCGTATGTTCGCCAAATCCGGCTCGAAATCCGGACACCACAGCAGGCAAATTAGGTCTGTTGAGGTGGCCAGACTCAAGAGAAGATTGCTGAGTTACATGTAAAGAATATGAACATCCTCACATCATCATCTGGGTTCTGCCAATCAGCCATTATTTGGCGAGGTCCTCCGTATTGGAGACCCAGCAAATGAGATAATTTATAACAGAAAAGGATGGATCAGACAGAGGAGCCTCAGAGAATAAATTATGCAGCACAGTACGGGCTAGTTGAATACGGAGAGCAGCACAGGCTAGAAGGCACACATACAAAGCCTAAGAATCATCTTCTATGCTGACAAACAGAAGCCTTGAGACCAAGTTATCTGGCTCTCCGATGTTAGCTGCAAATATTTCCTGGTGACCAGATTTGCAATGCACTAATGAAGTCCCCATGCTAATTATCGCCATGCTCCATGCAGAACAACAATGGCAGCAGAGGAATGAATATAGGTATACAGTACTGTAGTAGAATGTCAGGCATAGTTGTAGGTCAAAGATATGCTTTTGCCTAGTGCAAGTTGCTTTTTATCATGGGTAGCTAAGCTGTGTGGTGAACTGGTGATATGCACCACGTACATGACCAAGATATTCGTCACAATCCTCGAAGGACAAGGGAGCTTGCAGGTGATGAAATGGGCAGAGCATTGCGAAGTGTAATGCACTTTTATTTCCATAATTATAAAATAAAACATTCAAGACGCACAGATATCCTACCCTCTTATAGACTTATGGGTATAGACCTTGACTGTCTAAACTTCCTCCTTGAGGTGCAGCACAAGCAGGCTAGCGGGCTCTGCCTTGGTTTGCTGCCCAGGAGGGTCCATGTGAATTGGGCAAAAGTGCATCGCATCCAAAGTCTTTCAAGAAATATTTATCTTCCCTACTTCCAAAAATGTTTACTGCAGAAGGATGGTTGACAAGCTCTTTTCTTGCAGTCTTCAACAAGTTCTGCATGCAGCAATAGACAGAGAGGACATCCTGTGCCAAAGGACAAGGTATGCCCATCTGTCTTGATCCACATTCTCAGTGCCTGACGGTGGATCCTCTATGCAGAATGGGATCTCCATGAATGTGAAACTGTGGACATGGGTCATAATAGAAGGTTGCTGGTATGCAGAGGGCATGCGCCAACCATAAGAACTTCTCTACACTTGCTTTTGGAAATGACATGCATAGCAGATGGGTGTTGCAAATGTATGTGTGGAAACATGATCTGTGCACACGGTCTGCTTGAGATGGAAAGGGTTCGATCGTTCAAGTGCCCTTCCATCTTGTAAGTATTTCACAGTAAGTTACATCATTCGATGAAATTGGTCTGATGAAAAATAATAAGAGCGTTGCTCAGCTGCTACTGTACAATTTCCTGGCTAAAACTACTCAAATAAACCAAAATTTAAACGGTAGGATTGACGTTCCCTTCATACTGGCCTTCTATCTTGCGGGGGGGCGGACTTAACAATAAAGGGTTTCTTATCCAGTGGCGAATGCTTCAAGCATGATTCCATCGCAAGAGGAGAAGCAACCAAGGATAATATTCTAAAGGCGAGTGCTTGTTGCGTGGGCTGGAATTGTGTTATTGATACCGGACGAACCATCACCTGACAGTTTCACTTGCTTATTTGTGCAAGTAGTGAATGCATTAGCAGGTGAAGGAAACGCTTGCGTTTGTAACCGCACGCCAGCATCTCTCATGGGACGCATCTTTATGAGTGCGCGTTGTTGCGAACACAGTGACTCGGTAATGCAGTTGATTCTCAGCAACGATAGCCGAGACTTGCGTGATCGCGATGGGGGGAAAACCGGGTTCAAGTAGTGACTATGCAAAAGATACGCAAAACTCTCATTTTCGTGACCGGATTATTAAGAATGATTGTCCGGCCACGCTAGGCATCATTAATTCGCGGTGTACGAATTATTATCTTGCTATGAGCATCTCTCCCGTGGATTATATATGAACGCCTGGGAACGTGTCGCGGGGAATTATGCGCATAATGAGTTGATTAGACAAGAAATATCACGGAGAAGCTATCATTATATCTGAATCCCTGGGTAATTCCGTTGTTTTAACCAGGGTAACATCTAATAAAAACTGCTGGAACGTGCTGTGAAAATGGCGATTTTGAGAAGGCCGTTTTCTTTTATTTCTTAGATTCTGACGTTAAAGGCCCAGGTTCTCCAGATGCGCCATCAAGGCCCGGGGCGGATGTCGGCAAATGAATTGATTCATGGGTGATATACAGCGCGGATCGATTATGAAAGCACCTCCGCGGGGTTTTGAGCCCGAAATGGCGAAAGTTCCCGGCAACTTTTGTATCGACGAGGAAAATCTCGGAAATTTTGAGGTTATCCAGATCCGAGACCGAAGGGAATAAGCTAAACGGGAAGTTTACGACCGTCCTCGTCATTTACGGGGCTTTCCTCAATCGCCGGAATCAGAGCTGTTCCATTCGAGGGGCTATGAATTCTATGAGTTGGTTTCATGCGCGGTGTTTTCCAGGAGCAAAGCCGCTTACGAACCCGTCATTGCCTTTCGCTTTGGGCAGCTAATTGCTTCCCGAATAACATGCACTTCGATCCTTGCGCCGTGTGCAC